GGGACAGCGTGGCTCTGGACGCGGGCTCCGGCGTCCTTCGGGCAGGTAGGCGAGCTGGCTGCGCGGGGCTCGGCGCCTGGGCCAGTTTCGGGAGTGTAAGGAGCGGCCCCTGTCCCATTCCAGAGTCGCGGGACCAGCTGCAGAGGAGGGAGATGCCCACGACCCGCGAGGGCTTGCGGATCCACAGGAACGACCTGGCGATGGAGCTGCTGTGGCTGCAGCAGGCGATAGCCAGTCGGAAGAAAGTGAGTCGTCCTGCAAAGGACGTGTCATGACCTTCGAAGAAAGATGTAGGGTGTGAAAAGGGGGTTAACTGATTTCTTTCTGCACGAAGACGTCTCGTGACACAAGACACTCCAGGTGCTTGAACACCTTTAAGTTCTGGGAAGGGATGGGAGTTAACTGATAAAGAGATTCCAACTGCAAGATAGAGACCCCCTAACGAAGGAAAGATAAAACCGCCCATTCAAAGTGGCCAAGGTCTTGGGAATGTCCAAACACAGGTGACCTCCCCCCATTACCATGGTAACAATTAGCGTCAGAAACGGCTGAAGTTTGCCATTTAAACTGGAAGTTTTGTACCTATAATACTTTGATCTTTTTGTTCCTTGCATGCAATAAACTCAGTTGTTTCAACTTCATTTCGGGATCCAGAACTTATTTGTCTGTTACGACACCTTAAACGCACATTTCCTCCATTGTTGGTATAGAAGAGAAGTAAACAGATTGCTGGTGCCACATTTTACTGTACTTTTAAGTTCTGTCAAATGCTAAAAATGATAAGTATATGTGCTTTAAAGTCACTTATATTTTATTCATTTTATTTAGAATCTTTATCCAACATTTTTAGATTTTACTATATATATTTGCATTATAGATATATAATTTATGAAATTCAAATTTTCATAAATTATTCTTTTAAAAAACCTTATCTTAATAATAGACAGCCAGGCCTTTTCTTTTTAATACTACTGCTCCCTTGATTATCTCCACATTTATATTGCATTCAGTTCCATCATTGAAGACAAAAGCTAAACTAAGTTGATCTTCATTTGTTTTATTCAATTCTTTTAGTATCTGGTCCTGAAGCAGAGACTGGGAACGCCGTAACCGTGAACAATGAAGGTCACTCGTTGATCTACGGACAGACTGATTACTCGGACAGAATTCAGGAGCTTCAGTGCTGTGGAAAACTGTGGCATCAGACAGTTCAGATTTGGGGAGATGTTCCTTCTATGTGGCTTTTGTTTCCCCAGAAGGAAAGGTCATGGTTTTCAAAACCAGTGAGATGTTCAAGAGCACTTGGCTCAATTGTCTCAGGCTTCTCAGACCACCTCGTTAGATACTAGATGGGATATACTGACAGCTGACACAAAGCTGGAAACATACGCCTTTTTAAGTGACCAGTGAGTACAAAGCCTAAAAGGAAAGTAACTTAATGCAAAGCTTAATTCTGCATTTGTACCATTAGCCTTACATACCCATAGCTTTATGGGTTAAGGTTAATCTTGTGATTTAATGATGTAAGCATGTTTTGGTGAACTGGAAAATGGAAGTTGTACTGTTTTTTTTAGAGTTCTTCATGAGCAAATTTTCTGTAAATAATGTATAATTTTTTTTTCAAATCTCACTTCATGATACCCGCACTTTCACTTAATGTAAGTCATACGGCTTCATATTTTGTTGAAAATAATAAAATTGTTTATTTTTCCAGTAGATCTTAGTTGTTGTATTATTGGGTTCATAGCTGGATTATTTACAGCCTGTTCTCCCTGCTCTTAAAAACGTAATGAGGATTTGTGAACCTGTGCGTTGATATTGTCAATAATATTCCATATTTGCTTCTTAAATATGCCTTTCACTGATATCTCTATAACAGCAGACTTGTTTTATTCTGTATCTTTACAATGTTGACAAAGCCTTTGTGTTGTGCAGATTCTGATTGAAAATAAGTTTGTTTACTGTGCTTCATGCACATAAAGAGCCAGATGCATTCTCTGTTGCATGTTAACAAAATCCTCTACTGCATAGGGATCAGCTGCCCTTCTGGGAGGTGTTGGCTAATAGGATCCAGATCGTTTCTCATTTGCTGGCTTAATGTTCATTACGAGCAGCACAGTTTTCTTAGTCACAGCTAAATCGTCACACAGTTTCCTCATCTAGAATAGAGTTACACATAAAGGTCTTTTATAGGATTTAATTGTTCTTGAGTTTCAAGTAAGCCTCTTTTCAAAACACTTTTTTTAAACTCATATTTCCTTCTGGTTTATTTGCTTTTACGGCTCCTGGAGTTCAGCCATTTGTCCTGCTTGTTTTGTCCAGTGGCACATCATTGTCAGCCGCTGGCCGGGGTGAAAGAGGCGGCTTTGTGTTTTAGGAGGCCGCATTGCCACACAGAAAAATAGAGTGAGGTGTGGAGATTATCTTATTGACTTAGCCTTGAGGAGGTTGTGTGTGTGTGTGGTGTAGGTGACTCGGCCTCCAAATACTGCCTTCGCTGTGCTTGCTGCCATAGCAACCAGGAAATACTCACAGCACAGCGCAGTCCTGTACTACAGACCAGGCAGGAGAGCCCAGAGAACCAGAAACCTAGAAAGGTGTTTGCTGCTAGAATTCTAAATCCTCTGTTCCGTCTTTGTTTTAGCATTCATACTTGGAAAGTAACAGCCAGATTTTGTCGGAGTGCCTGTGAAACTGCGAGGTGGGGAGCGAGGGGGGTGGGAGACGAAAATGACCTCCAACGGGACCGTGCTCCCACTGGCTAAGAACGTGGTGGTGTACAAGAACGGGGACCCGTTCTTCAACGGCAGGAAGCTGGTGGTGAACCAGAAGCAGTTCCTGACCTTCGAGTCGTTTCTGAACGAGGTGACCCACAGCATCCAGGCCCCGGCGGCCGTGAGGACCCTCTACACGCCCCGGGACGGTCATCGGGTCCGCGAGCTCCAGGACCTGCAGAACGGCAGTCAGTACGTGGCCGCGGGCTTCGAGAAGTTCAAGAGGCTGGAGTGAGTACCCCGCCGCGTTGAACAGGCTTTCTCACTTCATCTCTGGGCTGAAAACATTGTGATGGTGCTCGGCTCCAAATGCTTTTCTTAAGGAACCTGTAATCTGAGACTTCTTAGTCCAAAGTGACATCCAGGACCCTCCTGGGATATCTCCCTGAAGATGAAATATTATTAAACTTGGACCATGCTGCGGCCTAAGTAGTCACCTTGTTTTCATTATACTGATCAATTAGAATGCTTCTGATTTCTTTCCATCTTCCGGGGGTTGTAGAAGATGAAGGAAGGGAGCTGAATGAAAATGCATTAGAGAAAGTGAAGGGAAGCTTATCTAAGAGGGTTAAGGAGGAAAGAAAGGTCAGACTCCCACATGTAGTTACTATGAATTATAAAGTACGTGGAAAACCAGATATGTGACCATCTGAAAACTATAATGTTCAAGGTTATTTATTTCTAATTTTATTTAGTTTTTTTTTTTTATTTTACCGCTAACCTTACAAATTTGACATTCAGGTATAATAAGGTACCTGTCCAGATCCTGAAGGTACAGTAAACCTCAGAGGTAAAGCTGGAAACAACTGACACACGGGAGAGCACTTGTTACTTTTTTTAATACTTTCATTATACATTTGTGTACCTGCATTGTAGCTTAATGATTAGTTGTAGGAGAGATTTTTTTAACGTGTTTCTCTTTCATTTGTAGCTATTTGAACCCAGGGTCTAAAAAGCCGGTAAAGAGAAGTGAGGAGATACAGGTAAGCGTTTTTTTTAAGGCGAAACTGAGGACGTTACTTATTAATCTCAGTGCAGTCAGTGATTGCGAAGATAAATGGCAGACTGGAATTCCCTGCATGTGGTCAATGTGCAGCCTTGAAATGGGTGATTTGGCTGGAAGCAGTACATGTGTTGTCCATTGCTATGCCTTGATCAGCCAAGTAGAAAATTGAGTTTTTAGGTCTGTCATACTCACGTAGCACTAATGGGAATGGTCTTTTGGTCCACTTATATTGCAAAAGAGCCATTTTCAAGGACAGCGGCCCTTAAAACAATTCAAAACATACAGTGAGATTGACCCTAACAGGATGGGAACCTAGCACACAGATTTGTAAATCCGAAACGAGAAAGGAACATTCATTACAGTGATACAATGAAATCTCACAAAATACAGACGCTTGGGCATTAATTTTAGGTCAATGCTACGAACACTTGCCTGTTTCTGTCAGTATTAATAAATTAGGATTAAGGATGAAATGTTTTATGGAGTTACAGTTGTAACCATGGCCAAGATCAAATTAAAACTTTGCCTCTTCTGCCAATCTTTGCACGTACACATCTGGATTTCTGTTTGCTGGTAGGATTTCTTTACTTAGATTAAGATGCCAGGAATTGGAGAGTTTAGAATTTGTGACTGACAGGTGGGGGAAAGGTTCTTGACTTGATTCGGGCCTAAGGGTATAACATTAATGGTGAAAAGAAAAAGTTGTTCATCTGGATTTTTCAGACCAATAGCTTTCTATACCAAGGTACACAGCATTAGCCTTGCTGTCACCTTGTATTATTAAGACTTGAGAAAAAAACACCAAGCACAGTTCACCAAGCAAGGTCTCAGGACATTGTTGTGAGATGCTGCCGACTGAAGAATAAGTTAATTTAAGGAGAAGAGCTATAGCAAAAGAAAAGAAAGAAATTTCTGAATGTGGCCAATGTGCAGCTTTGAAATGGTTAATGTGGGGAGAGATCTCAACAAAACTTTTAGTTGAACAGTTTAGCTGAACCGTTTTTATGAGAAACTGCTATCCCATTATTGATAGTAATCTGTTGTAGCTGTAGTTCACCATCCTATTGAGAATCTTCTTGGGTCTGACAAAGAGGTAGCTCATGTTATTAGTTTTTCCATATGGGCAGACCGTCAGAAGTATTGTGTTTGTCTGAAAACATGCCGCAGAGAGATTTCATTTAAAACAGGCACGCATATGCTTTGGAGCGACCTTCTCCTCACAGCTCCCTGTTTGGTCACAGATTCCCGACGCTTCCATATGCTACAGACAGATGCGAAATTAATCACGGACGTTTCAACAACAGCTGCTGGAGATCAAGCTCATTTGTCTCTTGTGTCGTATTTTTGCGCAAGGCTGTCTCATTCCTTGTCTTCTCTGTCACTGCTTCTTTTATAAAGGAATGTTTGTGTGGCATGTTGCCTGAAGTAAAGATGGCTAAAAGTGACCTGGAAGATTAATATGATTGGGGGCTTTGTAAGACAATGTAAAGCAGTTTATTAAATTTGAAGATGCATCAGCAACAGCTCTGTATATCAAGCCACCACACTCTCTGATTTCTGTTCCTCCAGGATTGCTCTGGGGGTCTTGGTTTGGTATTAATAAGGAGTGTCTGAATTCGGCTGCAATTCTGAGACAAACAGCTCCTCACAGGAGTCTCTGGTTCTGGTGTCACTTGGTGTCATTACGGATGGCCGCTTTTAAAGAATCAGATATTCACAACTTAATTAAACTTAGGAGTGAAACCACAAGAAGAATGGGAGCTGAGAGCACAGAAGACACTTCTTCTGACGCCTCTGCAGCCGTTAGCATGCCTGTGATTTGAACGTTAGCCCAGACTTGAAAGGATTGCAGTAGCTCCGATGATGTCTCTCACAGAGCCTCCTGCCCTGTGTGACTCACACTTGTGTTCCAGGTGACATTCCTGGGAGCTCTTCAGACCTCAGTTATCACACTTTGATTTCCACGCAGCCTCAAGGTGTCCTAAATTACAGCAGACACTTAATCTGGATCAGTTTCTCTGGGGAACGCCCTGCATGTTGTTAGGTTTCCTTAGTTTCAGTGTCGCGAGGCAGTTGCTTTGTTTCACACAGGAAGTTTTGGTCTGGGAGTTGGACGTTGTGGCCACCCAGGGTTGAGGTGTGTCAGTCTTGGCCACAGCAAGGAGAAACTGTTACCCGTAATGAAAGACTGCAGGCACCGAACACGCGTGACCTACCTGGCAAGAGAGAGGCGTGGCAGAGCAGCTGTGGGAAAAACTACTGGCCAGAAGTCATTGGAGAAGGTCGACGTGGCAACTGAGGGTTTGGTTACCCAGGCAACGGCCCCACGGCCGCACGGGCAGGTCCCCCTGACAGGAGAGGACAGCAGGAGGCTGGAGGGCACTGTGCTGCTGGGGCGAAGCTCACTGTGGGAGCTGCAGTGGAGATCAGCCCCAAGCAGCACAGACCGAAGAGCAGCCATTCTTTCAGGAGAACAAAACTAAGGCTGCACTGATTATTAGAGAGCTATGCATGCCCAGACTTGTTTGAGCCCATACCTACACCTCTTGTGTTTGAAATAAACACTGTGGCCCAGCTCCTTCAAGCAAAGTGGCAACATTGTTTTTAACTGTTGTGCATGTAAACAGTGCAAAGTTACAAAGGGGTTTTCTTTTCCTCTGGCAGTGTGTTTTTTAGATTTCATCACTCGTCTAACCCAGTGTTTCCCGTGTGCTATAGTGTGCTGTGCAATCAGAAGAGATCATGTTTAAAGAGAGTGGATCAGGAACTAGCTCTGTTCAGGAATTAACTTAGTATTAAACAGTTCTGTTCTTTAAAGCCCTAGTTTCAAGTGATAAAAATAAAATAATAATATTGTAATGAAACAAGTGAAGCCAAAGTAACTTTACAATTGCTTTGAATCTGGGACCCCTATATCTCAGCAAACATCCCTTTGCATTGAAGCTGGAAATGTTTCTCATTTTATCTGTGATATTGTGTATTGTGTTATTGCCAGCAGTTTATCTGCTTATACCTGCGACTCGCTCCTGGCAGCCCACTGAAGCTCAGCAGGTGTGAACCTGGTCAGTACCTGGATGGGAGACCTCCTGGGAAAGCTCAGGTTGCTGCTGGAAGAGGTGTTAGTGGGGCCAGCAGGGGGCGCTCACCCTGTGGTCTGTGTGGGTCCTAATGCCCCAGTATAGTGACGGGGACACTAGACTGTAAAAAAGGCTCCGTCCTTCAGATAAGACGTAAAACCGAATACCTGACTCTCTGTGATCATTAAAAATCGCAGGGCGTTTCTCAAAAAGAGTAGGGGTGTTACCCCTGTGACCTGGCCAAACTTGTCCCTGGCCTTTAGCAATCATAATTCCCTAATATTCCCCATCTTTGAACTGGCTTCATTATTGTCTTATCCCCCCTACTGATAGCTGATGTGTACTGCTGTCACATCACCCAGGTGGGGCTGCACATGGGTGGTGGTGGAGGGGATCCCCATTAGCTGTATAGCACTTTGAGTGGAGTGTCCAGAAAAGTGCTATGTAAGTGTAAGAGTATGATTATTATCTGGATTCTTTAAGACACTTCATAACAATATTGTTTTGCAATATTAATGCTGATTAGCAGCACTCTTTTTTCCTGTGTTAAAAGATCAACTCCAGTGACCAGTGCTCTAAGAGTTAAGTTGCTGTTCAGGTTCAAGTCATAGACCCGGGCAGACCTGTATTTTAACTGAAAGTAATAGACTTTATGCCACATGGCCATCCAACCTTTTCCCTGCTACTTCATCCAAATCGCAGGGCAGACAAACACACACACGCTCACATCAGGGCCAGCTTCCATTTTTAAAAGGTTTTGGTTTTTGCTTACTTAGCCTTTGCACACTTAATTCTGATAATCTTGTGTGGCTTATCATCCTTTAGCACTCCTATTTCATGTAATCAATAAATGTGTATTGTCCTTTGGAATTTAAATGTATGCACGGACTCTGGTTGTGAGCTCCCTTTGGCTTCGATGGGGTTCACATTTCTTCTGTTGCAGGTAAGAACAGTCTACCGACTGAATGTGTCTGCAAAATGGAGAAAGACTATACACATGCCATCTGTCATACAGTAAGTGATCTGAAGGTCTGAAATACCTACACTCAAGTTAGATTTGTGTGTTTACTGCCTTGCCAATAGTGGCTGTCGAAATAATATGGAGGTTTTCCTGTTGCAATGCAGCTGTGGCTCCTGGGATGACTGACCCATGCCGTGAGTGCGTGCTTCTGCTTGTGCTTGTCTGTGTCTGTCCTTCGATGGACTGCTGTCCATCCAGGGTGAATCCCACCTTGTGCCTGTTGCATGCTGGGATAGGCTCCAGCTACCCCACAATCCTGTATTGGATTACACGGTTTGAAAACGGATGGATTGTGTTTCCTTAGGAGCCCGTCAACAGAGAAACCGAGGTAAGCTAATAGTCTGCTGTTTTTTTCCCCTTCACAGTGTGTTTCGAAACGGGGATCTCCTGTGCCCCCCATTCCGGCTAATCATTCCCAAGAACATGCTTCAGGACTGGGGGAGTATCCTCACCATGCTTACAGAACGAGCCAACCTGAGAACTGGCGCAGTGCGGAGGTCAGGGCGAGGGGCCGGGCGGAGAATGGGAATATGGGTAGCGGTTCCAAAAATAAACCCGACTCCGAGAGAAGTGAGATGGGTCCGTGAAAAGTTATCAGAATAAGATAATGGTGTTCAACACTTTCAAACCAAGAAATTGAATACTGATAAGAAAACAAATCTCCAAACGGGGATTGGGGCGCTATACTGGAAAAAAGGCGCCGTCCTTCAGATGAGACGTAAATCTGAGGCCCTGACTCTTTGCGGTTATTACAACTCCCAGGGCGTTTCTTGGAAAAAGAAGGGGAAAAAAGTAGGGATGTTACCCCAATATTCCGGCCACAGTTTGCCCTGGCCTTACCAGTCATGGCCTCCTAATAATCCTCATCTCTGAACTGGCTTCATCAATCTGCTCTCCTCCCCACTGAGAGCTGGTGTGTGGGGAGTGTTCTGGCGCACTATGGCTGCCGTTGCATCATCCAGGTGGGGCTGCACACTGGTGGTGGTGGAGGGGATCCCCATTACCTGTAAAGCGCTCTGAGTGGAGTGTCCAGAAAAGTGCTATATAAGTGTAAGGATTTAAATGCCAGCTTTTGATTTTCCTAACACTGTGAGATCTGGGCAGCAGGTGGCGGTGTTCACCAGGTTTTGACTGCTGATCTTGCGTTTTGAACTGCCCTGCTTGGCTGTGGCCCTGTATCCCCCTGCAGACTGTGCACGCTGGAGGGGGACGCTGTGTCCAGTGGCGAAGAGCTGGAGAACGGACAGTACTATGTCGCTGTAGGAAGTGAGAAGTTCAAGAAACTTCCGTATGTGGAGCTCCTGGTGCCCAAGGCTCCATTGCACAACTTCAGGTAGGGAGGACACAGCATAACGAGCTCTGTACTGGGGAATATGAAAATTAAGATTCTGCAGTTGTAGTAGAAATTCCAAGAAAGGGAGATTTCAAGAAAATAGCAAAGTCTGCTCCTTATCTTGACATGCAAGGAAACTTAATTCGCTCTGCTCTGAATGCCCCTCAGAGATTTCAAATCAGCGATTGTGCAATTCACCGTAGCACTGAATCAAAGTCCTGTGTCGGGTTAAATGGAAGTACTCCAATTCACCCCGCAATACTGCTCTGTTTCTTGCTTTTTTTGGTCCCAAGAAATAATGTGCATGGGCCCACAGTTCTATGAAATGGGGTTGAATAAGAAAGTGTCAGGGTAAGCTGACTTCAAGTAGGAGAATTGCCTTGCCTTTCAGATAAACGTGCGCTAGCAGAGAGTAAGTGCTGTAGAGGAGGCTAATTGTGTAAGAAAACACTGAGTTACCTTTCTCTAATGTGTCAGGCTGTTTTTATGGATCTTTTTCCATTATTCTTTCTTAGAAGCCATCCAGGAAGGAGATTCTTAACAAAGAAACAGGAGGTAGGCCATCTTTTGTAGAACTTTACATGTTGTAAAAATCTATTATTTTTGCATTGATCTTGAAGTGCATTAATGAACCCTGAAGACTTTAAAGAAGAGACTAAATTCAATTCAGAATTGGTTTAAAGGTTCTGTTTAAGGCACAGTGAATACAAGCGTGTTTGTGCAATCAGGATGTTCTGGTGTGTAGAGGGCTGTGCTACTCAAGTCCCACTGTTCGTTCTGCCAGTACAGGAAACCAGTTAGTGTCCCACAGGATGGGTACAGTGACCCTGGCCTGCTGGAATCACCTGGAGAGGTAAAGCCCATTCTCGTGCCTTCTGCGGCCCTGCTCAGCGCCCAGGGCCGCCCTGGTCACTCTCCTTCTGCGTGTTGCAGTCGGACGGCCGGCGGGTGAGGTCGACGGGGGATGAGACTAACGGGAATGCGGTGGCGCACCGGGCCGTGCGCAGGAAGCCCAGGAAGAACGCCAAGGAAGAAGACTCCATCTTCTATGCCAAACCAGTCAGGGTCAGGAAGAAGAGAACTGACCAACCCAAACCCCCTCCTCTGAGGAAGGAAGAAGGCGAGTACCTGTTAATGAGCAAAACAGCCGCTGCACACCCGCAGAGTCTCTGGTGTGGATGGATGCTACTGTGTCCTTTCGGTTGTTTGCGATAAATACTACAGTGTAAGTTTACAACATACACTTGGCTAAACAATCTGTCAATAGACTGTTTCATTTTTCTGTAATGTATTTCTTGGCCTTTCTTGCTGGAGGGAAGAGAAAGCAAAGCCATGACTCTAAAACGTGCTCGAGTTAAGTTTTACGTCTTCCAAGACGCTTGTGACGAGAGGGGCGACTCACAGAGCACGATGACGGGTGTGTTGCAGGGGAGGAGGGGGTCTTTAAAGGAAACCGCGTGAGGCGGGAGGTGCAAGGCGCAGCAGAGGTGGCGGAAGACGAGAACACCGCCGTGGAGCTCCCTGTCGACCAGGTACCGCAAGCTACTGCGCCTCCGCCAACATCCACACGGCCCTCCTCATCGACAGGCAGGACGTACCAGCGCTGACTCGCATGCCAATCAGAGAAATAAGAGAGGGACATTAAAAACGAATGCTCACGTTGTGTTCTGTAAGAAATGCAACAGGTGAACCCTGCCAAGAACTACGTGACACTTAGCTGTTTAGAGAAGCTGACCATTTGTTTCTAGGTTTTTAAAAGGATAAGAGGCGATTGGAAAGTTGCTTGTTATAGAGCCGACTTCCATGTACTACAGACTAAGGTGTTTGCTGTAAACTGCAGGCTGGAATTCTTATATGAGCTCTTTTAGCTTCAATTTCAATTTTTAACACCACAGTAGCTCAGTTGTTGTAATTTTAGTACCACATGGATGAAACACCTCAGCTGTGGCAGCAGTGTGTAATAGTGGTTGGGGCTGGACTAGCTGGAAGGCTGTGAGCTCATATTGCAGCTGCTGTACCCTTGAGCTTGGTGCTAACTCAGAAAACTCCCAACATGCTCAGCTGTAAATGGGAAGAAACATAAGCTGCTTCGATGAGAAACGTCAGCCAAATTAATAGCCTTAAAAATATGATAGCACTTTGGTGCTCAGATTGATGAGACCAAATATTGAAGGCATGCTACTTCGAAAGATTTAAGAAAACAGCCTGCAAGTCTAATCTAATCTCTATTTTCGTTCTGTATTTGTCAGAGAGTAGCAGAGACGGTTGAAGATGAAGTAATAAATGAAAATGATCACCAACAAAATCGGGTAAGGTGTAGATAAAATCTTGAGAAGTCTCAAATCATCACTGTGTTTAACTTTACTAACTAAGGTACTTCTTTTCCTTTGGTTAAGGAGATGACCCCTTGGGAAAACAAAGCTGATTCTGTTGCAGAAAATCGTAACTCACAAGATTTAAGCGATGGACAACACACTGGCAGAGCAAGCTACGTGTCTACCCACAGACAAGAGGCTTGAAAAGACCCCCAGCCCCCTGCACACTGCGGAACCTGAAAAGCCTTATTAATACTCTGTGGTGCAACACAAGCAATGCAATCTGTGCCTTTTTAAAAGGAAAAGAACCATTTAGGACTCGGCCTTCATTACAAACTGCTGTATTTTTTTACATTTTATATCAGAAAGTAATAAGAAATTAAATATGACATAGAACTGTAAGGACCTTTCGAGAGTAATGTGGCTGCTATTATCAACTTCATCTTGTAATAGAGAAACCATGAACATTAGATCTTGATTTATAATAGCATTACGTTTGTTTTAATGTACAATGTTTGAATAATGCCTATACATTTTAATTTGCCTCCCTGCATGACTAGATTAATTCTGTAGTTCTGATTATGGATATGTGACCATTTTTGTATCTATATTTTGTTTAATGCAAGTCAACATAATGTATATCATTAACAATTGGAAGTATTTCCTGTTATAATGGTGTAAGTCATAGCATAAAATAATATGATGAAGTATATATATGCTTTTAATATCACAATTTTCTTCATCATTTTATTGTATGAATTTTCTTTACCTCTTTATTTTTTTCATGAGCTGCATTTAAAACCAGTCTTACAAAAAGTGTCCAAATTTTATTTTTAAATTGTTAAAATTCACCACTTATTGAGATTTAGTCTCCCAAAATATGCAACACACATTTTGGTCAGTTGTTTCTACATCACAGTTGAGTAATACTACTCTCTACCCACTATTCAGCCTGGGTGATAACAAAACCAGAACAAAACATTCTGACACAATGGCTCATATTTGTACAAAGCAAAAAAAACACAGTTCAATATTTATACAATGAAAAGAATGGATAAAGAAAACCTTTAAAGCTGTGTTGATAAATGATGTGAAAAAGGCATTAAACATTTCTGTTGTTGTAACAAATAGTCTTCCTTCACTTGGAATTTCCTGAGCAGCAAGAAGTGACTCCTTTGTCAAACTTGCTCAAGTAGCAGCTTTTCCTTTTTTTTATAGTATCTGGGTTTGACGCTATACAAGTGGAGAAACTCCACATCCACATTCAGATCCTCCAGTGCAAGAAAGCAGGACCACACAAAGGCTGGATTCATAAGTTATTATACAGAACCACCTGGTGGATGATAGCCCCTCAATTCCATATGCAACATTTCAGATTCTTGATCCCATTGGTGTATTATCGATCCATATTATCCTCTTCCTTCCAGACGGCCTGTGATCTATTTTAAGTCTGGTCATTCTGGGTCATCTCACCCACAGAACTCGCCACGCATAACGTAACGCCAATCATAGTGAGAAACATCCCGAAGACAGCTCCTGCCAAAGAAACAGAGTGCAGTTTTCAAGAACCCTCCAAACAGCAGAATCTGGTACAGGCTATCATCCTCCTTGTTTTCAACCTGCTGTGAAAGTGAAAATTTGTCTCTTTAAACTTGACCCACACCACCTAGTCCTGGCCCACCCATGGACAAGAACAGGAGACTATTACTCTTTTGACAACCAGCAAGATAGCACCTGATAGGACACTTAGCATCAAATGGAGAAGTGATGCGTCTCTCACAGATATTACTGCATGTAGTATGAGTCTTGACAGGAGTTTTAACAAGAGCCTAGTCAGCTAATTTCCACACCTTAAAACTAGCAGTACTGACATTTAACTTCCTTAGCAAGGAGGAAATCATATTTAATTTCAAGACGTCCACATCCTAAAGCTAAACTCATTCAATCGAGAGGTATTGTTACCTGGCAATAATACCTTTTATTCCATTCATACGTAACGTGGTTTTCCTACATACTGTATACTTCCAAGTTATCCACCGTCCAAGAAAGAGCCACCACCAAAACCAAAGTAGTAATTGAACGTTTTCAGATTAGAATTAATCTGGATGGCATGTTAAGATTTTTATTAACAGGGGTGTTTTCTAGATCTTTGGAATACGATTCTCAAAAATCCCCTTCCGATGTAAGAAAAAAACATCTTTGGTGTTAAAAACAAGCAAAAGGCAATGACTCACGTTTTCCTCCCAACTCTTCACCTAGGAACCTTCCTGTAAGTAGTGTGAACAGGAAGGTGAGAGAGTTGGTTACAGGCACAGCTAGTGACAAATCTGTTGAAAGAGAACAACCGTGGTGACTTAGAGGGTGAAAATGAACAAACCGACAGGACCAGGTAAAATACAGTTGGGCGTAGGGAAAACTTAATGAATGAAAACATGGGCTATTATAAAAATATTAACTAAACCACACAAAGCAACATCTTCACTAACTTTTGTGCCTTTGTGGATTTAAAATGACTTGTTGGGTTACTGGAATGTGTTAAATACTCAGATCATACTCACCTGTGGTGGCAAGTGTACAATAATACACTACTGATCCACTTTGATTTAAGAGGAAGGGCACCAAATACTGAAAAAGAAACAGCAAATTAGGAATGGAAAATAAAATCTAAAAGAAAGCAATACGTGTCAGGTTGAAACAAATGCATAGTTTACCAATTACACTTAACTGCATTAGTCCCTGCAACGCCTGTAGCTATAACACAACAGGACTTAACTAGGGGGTCTCGCAGAACTTATTTGACTTCTTGTTTTTAACAGTTAAACTGAAGAGTGATGTCAGCTTCACAAGGTGCTCAGGGTTGGACAAAGCCACGCGTCCACGCTGGCAGAGGGCTCACCTGGACGTTGAGGAACAGAAACTTAATTTCGGCTACGACCTGCCGGACAATGTTGCACTCCTTAACTCTTTCTATGCCCTCAGTACCCTTTTTCAGGAAAGGGTTGGTGCCTCCCCACAGCACAGACACAACACACAGGCACAGCACTTCCGCTGTAAGAAGAAAGGCCAAAACATGGACAGTAATTGTACTGGTTAATAAAAAAAACTATTGTTCGTACGTGTTCACGTTTCTATGGGAAGAGGGTGAAGTGAGCGGGTCTTTGTCATGAATCCCAGGACCATATAAAATAATATTTCAGTTCTGGACATTTTATTTGCACAAATAATGTCGTTTTCACAATAGTTTATTTACCAGTATGACAACACTATGCCTCTGTCACGGTATCAGCCATGTACTATAATTCGGGTTATAACATCGAACATTTAAAACCAGAACTAATGCATCCTACACCACCTTCTGATAAAATTATTAAATGTCCTAAAAATTACAACATGATTATTGTTAGGAAATGAAAACGGCTCACCTAAAGATACCATAGCAACTCGCCACACCAAAAAAAACCCCCTGGCAACGTCACGTGACTCGGTTTTTTTTTTCAACTTTGACCCAGGAAGTAGTTCTTTCTTTTTAGCCGGGTGTGTAGTGTAGTGGCGCACGCTGTTGTTTAAGGCCTTACTAGCCTGCTGTTTCATTCTCATTATTTCAAACAAATAATCAGCAGAAGGGATCAGATTTACAATCCGATACTAAAAAGAGCTAAGATGGTGAGTCCAGTCGGATATCTGCTGTTTTGGGCGTTAATCGGTATCTAAACTGCGTTAGTCAAGACCAGAGGGTGGCCAAGCCGAAACTATGGAGGCGGATTTTCAATTCATGACGATGTGCTTCAGCCTGTTATTGGACAATCTTGATATTTTAAAGAAGTTATAAAGTGGAATTAAAATCCCGTTCATAATGTAAAATTTTCAGATCCTTGCTGTGTACCAGTTGAAGTGTCGTTCATTTTAAGGAGTGGAAAGTTTACTGGATTCATTCAACTAGTAGCGCTTCCACTGGATTATTTTTGCCTTGTCTCACACATTGTTTTAGTTGATTTGGTAAAACCCGTTAACCTTTCCAAGATGACAACCCGTTATGATAGGAAAAACGACGGGGAATTAACTGACCTCCGGGCAGACGTCAAGAGCGTTCGCGGTGAACTGTGATCGTGAGTCTTATTTCCCTCTCACGGTTTTGCCCTTCTTGTTTTTCTTCAGAAACCCATTCTTCTGCAGGGCCATGAACGGTCCATCACACAGATCAAGTACAACCGAGAAGGAGACCTGCTCTTCTCCGTGGCTAAAGACACAGTACGAGATTCCTTGAGTTTTTTTTTCTTTTACCTTTGGTGTCTGTCGTCGCTCATTGGGGAGAAGTCTGTAATTTTACCTTAATGCAAGTTTTTCTTATCTTGCCTGCCTGACTCGATCATTTTCCCTCTGATTTCCCCGTCTTAATTGCACTAAATTGCGTCTTAATTTCGACGGCTTGCAGAGAGACGCTTTTGCCGTGGTGTTTACGGTTGTGTTCTGCGGTGTTGTGCCCAGGTGGTGAACGTGTGGTACTCGGTGAACGGAGAGAGGCTGGGCACCTACAATGGGCACACTGGAGCCGTGTGGTGTGTGGACGTGGACTGTATCCTTTTGCAAAGAAGTTTCAATCTTTTGTTGTTCCAGACTTGCATCCGTCAAGAAAAACCGTAATGAATTGTTTCCCAGTAGTAGAGTCCCCTGGGGTTTTCTTACTCGTCTAAAAGCAACACTGGGACTGACGCAGGTCCTTTCCTTCTGGCGGCTGGAAAAGCGGCGGTAGTTGTAGTCTTTGCATCGAGACGAGCGGGTTATATTTGAAACCGAGGTTCTGGCGTCTGACGAGACTCCACACCGTGGATCTTGTTGTGGACAGTGAATTTAAAAGTAGTAAAAGAAGGCACTTTTTTTTACACAGCGATCTGTTGCAGCAGTTGGAAGCACGTCTGATTGTGCTGGGAACATGTGTGCTTCAGTTACTGGTGATGCTCCTTACTGTCTTGAATCCTCTCTGTTGCAAGTCGTTTTTCTGCCCGGGAGCGAAGGTGACCAGTCGGCAGTTTTTCAAGGGGCTGTGTGGAGGGTCAGTGGGTACGCGGAGATGCCCTGTGCTGGGGAGACATCTGTGCCTGTTCTCCTTGTCACTTTGTTTTAAACCTTAACCAGAGGACACAGGGGACACAAAAAATGTGTTGACGGGCTCTGCAGACAACAGCTGCCGTCTGTGGGACTGCGAGACAGGTGTGTACTTTTCCCTTGAATTCAGTTTCGATCTAATTTCAGGGTTTTTTTTTTTGCATTGCGGTAATGCTTGTGCTGTAGATCTGTCTCCCAGTCCTGGGTCTTGATAGTTTGTGCTGAGTATATTGGCTGGGCCCTGCTTTTTCTCATTGCTTTCAGGGTCTCTCTGCTACTGGTCCTGCAGTGGCTGATGGGTCACTGTGCATGAATCCCACCTGTTGTAGAAGGTCAGGTACAGCATCACTGGCCATCATCACAAGCTGTTACAGGTCTCTGCTGCCTCACTCTGTGGTTCCTGCTCCGGTTTATTGACATTGAAGTGTTTGTCTGTGCAGGCAAACAGCTGGCTTTTCTGAAGACAAGCTCGGCGGTGAGGACCTGTGGCTTCGACTTTAGCGGGAACATCATCATGTTCTCCACAGACAAGCAGATGGGTTATCAGTGTTACCTCAACTTCTTTGATCTCCGAGACCCATCTCAGATCGGTAAGCCACCCGCAGTTTCTTTCCGATGGCCGAAAACTGCACTTTTTAGTTTTTAGCACTATAACGGCGTGCTGATGGACCGTTGTTCTTATCTTGCCCACAGCAGGTGACATGGTCCTGTAGGTACGAATCTCTAATAATTGTGCAATGCAATGAAAAACATGTAACTTCTCTGTAGCATTGCACGTACAGCACTTTGGCGCTGCAAAATCCAACATGCTGCTCTGCATAAGCGTCAAGGGTTTGCTGTGTCACAGATCAGACCGCTCAGTTGGAGTGCAGTTCCCTGCACACATTTCTGCGTACCTACCGGCTCGACTGCGGTTCTCTGTGTTTATCCGAAGCTCACGGGCAGCGTTGCTTTCTCTCCTCAGAGGACAACACCCCGTACGTGTCGGTTCCGTGCAGCGAGTCAAAGGTCACCAGCGCAGTGTGGGGTCCCCTGGGCGAGTTCGTCATCGCTGGGCACGAGAATGGAGAAATTAACCAGTTCAGTGCCAAGGTGCGTAGCCTTCCGACCTCCCAGAATGGGATTAAAAGTTGATTTCACTTGGCATGTAACTCATTAATAAGGACTGGGTGAATGAGTTAAAAAATGTGTAAATCTAGCTAGTTTGACAAAATGTTGACAAAGTCACCAGCAAAAGGCATCAGTCTCTGAATGTCCTGTATATATCATACATGTGCTTCCATGATCTGTACAGAGGTGTTAATTTTCTTCCCCGTTTTCTCACCTATGGTGCTGGAATGTGAAAACTCTTTTTGCAGTCTTAAGGATTTTTAATCGGGCTCCAGCTCACAATCCCAGAAGGCTGGATGCTCCCATTTTCCTTAAGAAAAGTACAGTCTTCCAGGATTATCACTCCACAGGAGCTCTGAATGACCGAGGAACCCCTTGCCTCTGCGTCTTTGTGTCAGGGCTGGTATTATTAAACATCCCAGTAGAGGCATTAAACATCAAGAGATCAGTTATGGATTTCCTGCTTTGTGGAATAATACCCATATTCTGTTCAGGATGATGTCAAGCAAGTGCTCTTCTTTATCCTGTCCCCCCCGCAGTCAGGAGAGGTGCTGAAGAATGTGAAGGAGCACACCAAGCAGATCAATGACATCCAGACGTCCATGGATCTCACCATGGTCATCACTGCTTCGAAGGACAACTCGGCCAAGGTTGTAGGGGCCTGCTTGACTCGGAGGGGGGTGGGGAAAATTCACTCGGAGAGTCAAGGGAAAGGATGTATTTGATTTCGGTCTGTTTTCTGCGTTTTGGTGCTTCAGTGTTTTAACAAGGGCCAGTCGGCACAGCTCTTGGCTAAAGCCCAGCGGCAGATAACATACATTCTGATGCCAAGTACTTGCTTTTTTCAGTCTGGGACACTTCATTCTCCTCTCTCACAACTATCGGTACAAGCCTGAGATAGTGGGAAGAGTATTGCTTGCCGTGCTTGTTTTTACAGTGCAGTCAGGCCCGTCAGTTCCTGGTGACAGATGTTTGTATCCCCTGAATTTCTCACTGCTTCTGCGGTGCAAGTTCAGAGATTCATTCGTCGGCGTTCCGTTTCTTGCTCTTGCAGTTGTTTGATTCAACGTCGCTGGATCACATCAAAACCTTCAAGACCGAGAGACCGGTGAACTCCGCCGCCATTTCCCCCATCATGGACCATGTAAGAGATCTTCATGTTAAACACCATCTTTCAGTCACACCACAGCACTTTTTTGTTTTGCGGAAGTTTCTCTGGATCTCCGCGCTTGCATTGGTCTTGGATAAGTTACTCTTCCCACCCCCGGCTGGTAAATGAACGCTCCCTGGCATTAGACTTGTCTTGGAACCTTGATCGTTTTAAACCTGTAGGCAGATCTGTTTTTTTTACACGTTACAGTCGAGGTCTCCTCAAGAAATTCATCCCAGCCTATAGCGCTGGGATCTGCCCAGTGTCTCATCGTCCTGTTTTAGTCAGGGGTGTATGCTCATGTTGCCTATCGTGAATACAATGAAGAACAGGTAATAGCAGTGAGTCTCTGTCCTTTCCTGATGTGGTCTGGAACCAGAGCAGGCCGTTTTCTCAATTCCTCTTGCGTCCTTCATGGGAATTGCTGCCGGGAACATCGGATAACGTTTGGAGTCCCGACTGCTGCCAGGCGGTCTAACAGGCTTGTTTCGGGGAAGCGTGTCGTGCTCGGCTGTGTGTGCGCAGTATAAGGTTCACGCTTGTCACAGCCCGGTGTCCTGCATGCAGGCGGCCTGGGCTGATGCCTGAGCGGCCCTCGTTTTCGGTGACGTGGTGCGTTTCTGTGACGGCTGCACACGGAGCCGATTGTCAGATGTTAATTGAGAATCTGGGCAGCATGGTGGTGCACTGGTTAGATAGATCACTTTATTGGCCA